TTTAGGAGGTTTGGTAGATTTGCTTAATTTAAGTTGACCCAATTGTGAAATCCATCCAAATGTGATTAAATTCACGGTGTGAAGCGTGGCATTTGTAGCTCAACTGGGAGAGCATTGGCTTCGCGTAGAGGCCTTCTCTACCATGCGGGTTCAAATCCCGCCGACTGCCGCGATTTTTTTCACAAATGGGTCAGCTTTAATTAAGCAAATCTGCCAAACCTCCTAAATATTAAAAATATAGTTTATAGCTCAATTTAGGCAAAGGGACGCTAAGGTAGCTATTTCGGACTTATTAGCCGTCTTAGCTATGCTGAAAGCACTTTCCAGTGTCGTTAAAAAACGCTGAAATTTTGTCGCTGCCAATCGAATCTGGGCCTCATTTTACTTCCTGCCCGAAAAAACTATTCTGACCAAGACTGCAAAAACGGCAGCATTTTCTACCCCCCCCCTCTCAGAAGCACAGAATTTTAGCAGAATGGCACATGCACGTTTGGTGATAGAAACAGTTTCTATTACCTTCGCGATAGTCTCAGATGCTGGCGTAACATTTTAATGGGCTGATTTAACCTGCATTTTAACCTCTTTTCGATCAATTTCCTGCCTTTTCCTGCTGTTATAGAGACTTCGAAAAAGAGATCAGCGCTCTGAGCCTCGACTACGCCAAACTGATCGCTCAAAAGGAGAAACTAGAAGCTCAGCTACTAGCGTTAATCACGGAGAATGAAGCTTGTAGAGCGTAAGAGAAGAACTATATTAACTTATTCCATTTACTTTGGGACAATTTGCATAGGAATTATAATCACGTGATTGAAACACCTATGGCTCAAAAAGTTGGCGGGGGGAGGGCTTGCTAAATTAGTTTTGGACCACTTTTCGACAGCTTAGCTTAGCATAATTACAGAAGTCGTTGACATTAGAAAGTTTCGCAACCACACGGCAGTTGCCGCCCAAGGCTTAGTGAATGGTAAGTGGGCGGAGATAGGTCTTCCGATTGCAAACACTTCTCACGGTAGACAGTACTAAAGGCGCGTCTGGATCAAAGAGTTCAGCCTGCAAGACCTAAATCACGGAAACCTGACATGACGGAGGAAGTCGGATTTAGGAAGCATCACGCACCCCCAAAGTCATCAAAATGTAAAAAGAGGGTAATGGAAAACAAAAACTAAAAAATGAAAATGGGCACTGACAAAGGAGGGTATGTAATTATCCTGAGGGGGTCCAGATTTGTGACACGACATCAATTTGGCTTAACTCACACGTAGTACGCTATCAAAGTCAGCTGCCCAGCTTCTTATGAGTAGCTTGTTCACTGACAATTCAATTAAATCGTAGAAAACAACAAATTTATCAGGTTCTACACAAGGTACCCTAATGCCACTAGATGAAGTTTTCAGAAAACATAGTGTTGCACCCCAGTGCAGTTTAAAAACTCCTATCCGTATTCAAATGTTAGCCAGACAAAAAAGTGTGTGAAATAAAGTTATGAAAGCAGTAATACTGCAAACACTTTTTGCATGAACCATGTTTTTCAGTGAATACCGACAAAATAACCGTAAAAACAACAAGAACCTTATTTCAGGAATACTGATTAATCAAACGACTTGCAAGTTAACTAACGCCCCCATCCTATTCGGTGCTACATTTTTATGATTAGCTAATTTTTGAATTTCAATTCTCAGTAATAATAGAAGTGTTTCCAGTCAACAGTCTCAGGTCACTTTTTAAAATAAATAAAATCAATAAGTGATAAATTAAACCACAAAGTAATTAGGGTTGCAAAGCCACTTTCCAATAAAGGAACACGGTCAACTTCAGAGTCCTAACCATATTACTCGCGTAAACAGAAAATGAAACCCAGTTGTGCAGCGTTCTTATCAGTCCAACCTCTCTATCTCCATGTAATAACAAAAAAACTTCAACTTTTTGAAGGGCTGCGGCTGATGGAAAACGGCAAACCGGCCGCAACAAGGAACTCACTGAAGAGGCTGTTAATCGTTATAACAGTTGGAACGATTTGGAAATGGCCTCACGAATGGATAAGTATGTCGAATTTTAAAATTTGCAAAAGGTTTGATGATTCAATCTCAGGGAATTATGGTAAACAAATCGTGGCTTCCTCTATATAGCTCAAACAATATGATTATGGCGTCTGAGATAAATCGTTCGTAACTCTTTCATCGTGTTAACAAAACAGGTTACGTAAAAATTATAAGCATTCGAAGTGTTGCAGATACTTGACGCATAGGTACAAAGATGATCAAATTATAAACTTAGTGAGCCACATCATTAAATGTTAACGGAAATTCTAAAGTGTGTTTTGGATAATGAAGGACTACATCAGCCGGGGTCTCATTCTCATCCCTGCCGAGCCATTGATTTCAAGTAAGGCAGTAGGCCCTAAGAGGGGTTTAATCTAGTTTTCCTTTGCGGGGCACCATGCATTTTTTAATATGGCAATGGAATAAGCACTGGTTTTGATATTTTTAGAGCCAAGCTGCTTCAGCGAATTGAAACCTGCTTCCAAGAAAAGAAAGAGCTTGCCGAAATTCAGACCAAGATCAAATGGGAGAAGGACAATCTGCTCAAAAGCTTGAAAAAATCAACCATGCAACTCGAAGTTTTGACAGAATCGGTCAAGGTTGCTCCCTCCTTCTTACTTCTTAATTAAAACTAAAGAGAACGCGGTCATTCTTAAGGCCGCTGTCTTGCTGATTTAATTAAGAAAGAAAGCTATAGATTTTCTAAAAGAGCATATAAATATTCTATTTTAAACATTCATATTTTCTGTTTTGTGAATGGTTCAATGAAAATCCGCATTGCCGATGCATTGGCTGCCACTATCTAGGGCAAACAAGCTGAACCTAAAACCATTCCAAGCAAAAGAAAGGCATGTGCTTTATACTTTTAAGGTAGTTTAGTTAAAGCATCAAATAGACTGGCATTGATATAAAGTTCGCTTTTCTATCCTGACTAACAAGCCGATAAACCAACTCATTTAGAGACTACCTTAATGAACTTCAGTTGAATAATTTACGCCTGCAGTTAGAAAGTCGGCCAGCGTAACTAACTAACTAACTACTAATTAGTTTCCATCCTCCACATAAATATTTTTGTCGAGCAGACGGATTCGCATTACCAATAAGTAATGCAACTTCCTCGCTAACGCGAACGCCTACCTTGGCTTTTTTTAATTTATTGTTCAGAACATTCAAACAGTGTACGACAAAGTTCGTGCTCGCTATGCCGTCACTCCGAAATACGACACGACCCTCGGAGCCAGGAAGGATAAGCTCACGGATCTTGTCCGGACGTTGCAACAGGATATCGGTGAGGAGGTTAGTTTGTTGTTCCATGGTAGAGGGGCCCTTAATTTGTGCTATTGTCTAGACAAACTTGATATGAATATTTGAGCTGAAACTCATCAGCCACTGTAGAATAATAGCGTAATTTTCATAATTTTCTCAGAACTATACGACAACTCTTATTGTTCAGTACTTTTCGTACCACCGGCACATTCCTCTACACCACTACTTGCCCGTTTATAAATATGAAAATCTAATCCTGCTATGCTGAAAAGATCGTCCCAATAAATCACACCATGTCTACCTGTTTTGTTTTACTAACGGTTACTCAAAACAAAACCGCCTCCGGAAGACAGGTTTTTGGATAGCATGGAAATAGAAAAGGGGTACTATATCTCGGGAAAAACTTTCCCGATCCAATGTTAAGCGAGAAGGTACGACCGAACTTGTTGGTGGTCAACAGCAGGCGTATGCGATTGACCTATCATTCGTAAAACTGTGTCTTACTGATCTAGAGTGAGGAATCTATTCTGTTTAGAAACCCGATTGGTGAAAAAGCACCTCAAGAATAATTCGCAGTTCTGACTCCGACCAGTTGGTCGATAAAATATCGATCCAACAGCAGGGCATGTGGCTTAAAGCCTAGTCGTCAACGGGTGGAAACATTATTAACTGACAACACCGAAGAAGCCAGAAATTTTTATTTCAGTCTCTTTGCCTTTCCCGGTTTTCATTAGAAAC